CTCCCCAGTATCCTTATGAAAATACACGCTGCACAAGTCTGGCACGTCTCGCTAGTACGGTATTATAAAGATAAGATTGCTTTTGCTGTTTATAATACTAAGGATCCTGTTGCCGGGATTTTTTTTGTTCATTAGAAATCTTTCACATTCTTTTCAGAGTCAGCGATTTCCAAGGCAGACCCATTCACAGGCATGTGTTGCGTATTCTTAGATATTTGAGTTTATTTTTGGCTATTCTCAAACATTCTGGATTCAGATCAACGTTGTTCACCAATTGGACTTGACTGCTCTGCAAGTCTTTGTCGTCCACGAGTTTTATTACCAGTGACTTAATATTTAGTTTCAGATTATTGGGAATGCTTGGCCTGCTGCAGACCTCTGTGGAATCCCACCAAAAACCTAATTCCCGGTGGATTGTTCTGTGTACTTGTGGGTTTCCTACCGCATGTTCATTGCAAGACCGCCTTTGGGGGCTTTGGTGAATTCTGGAGTGGCAAGAAGTATACCTCCCAAGGGGTCCCTCTGACCAAGCTTGGCTAACGTGATACATGTCATAGCATACTCCTTCATTATCAAATGGAAACCCTTTTTTTTGGTGGGTTTTTTTTTTTTTTGAATGAGTCATGTATCTATTTGTTGTTTCTTTTTTAAGTGAAAGCAAATGCTGTCTTTGAATTCCTGAAGCAGTTCTGCTACAGAAAAAAAAAGGACAGCGAAAACTGAGCACAAGTTGGTGGATGTTTAAAGAAGAATTCAAGATGTTCTCTGCTTGAAGTAATCGTGTTGTCCCGAACCGTGGCGGGCAGGTTTGACCTGAAGACTCCCAAGAATAGTATGCTCTAGTGGAAATTCAAGATTTTAGTTGCTCTTTTTAATACCAACCTCTTTGAGTGAGATGAAGAATTTCATTTTTGTTGAATCGATGTCCAAAACAGCTGTAGCAAAGATGATCCTGCCTCCTTACCTGCAAGATGCTTTCAGTGAAGGACGTCTCTGCACAAGCTCCTGTTGGAAGGAGTGACCTTACGTGGGAAGTTTTTAGCCATGCAAGGTGCATCCATCCAACTGTGTCGAGTCCAGCAGTCATCCATGCTCACCTTCAGACCTATGAGCTTTCGTGGATTGTTTGTAAGAACCGGAGATGAATAAGGAAGAAAAGCAAACCTTGGCTTGGTGCATTTATTGGAAAAAGCCTGAGGGTTAACAGCTCAAGGATGATTGAAAGTCGCTGGTCTGGTTCAGTAGTTTGAGGTTGTAGACTAACGTGTGTGTTGGTAGCTGTTGCCATTGAGGAGGCAACAACAAAACCCCCATACCTGCTCTGAGAGTGAACAGACCTGGGCTTTGTCCATGTGTGGATGGGAGGCTTGGGTGGAAGTCTGTGAAAAGCTTGGAACTAAGAAGGCAGGTATCAGATTGGTTCTGGCAGAGAAAGCAGTTTCTCCTGCAGCTCAGGAGGTAACCTTTGTGCTTTCGGATGAGCAGATTCCTGGTTCAGTTTTCTGTTGGAACAAATTCCTCCTGAGTAAGGACAATTGTTCATTTGATGGCTACTTCAAGGCTGGGCTGGATGCAGCGAGGTAATTGCTCTGCTCTCCAGATTGTACGTATCCATGCCAGGATGTGCTTGCCCACTAGCTGCTTTTTATTGCATTTATGGTTGAAATGGGATTTTCATTCAAAGATCTTGTGTTCAGTCAGCTATGACTTTACAAACCCATCACTGTGGGGCAGAAACTTGATGCTTGTTCAGTGATAGATGTTTGTTTAAAGTTGGAAGAAAACTGATTCAGCCACTATCTTAAGGATCAGACATTCAAATAAGCAATTGACTTTCATCAAAATGCTTCTTAAAACATTTTAAATTTTTTATTAAAGAGCATATGAAAAGAATACAACCATAAGGTTGACATTTGACTTCTCAGGTCAGGAAGTTAAGGTCCTTTAAGGGGCTTTAACCACACGTCTTGGGATGTTTGCGTGGTAGCAGGGTCATACATTGTGTGCATAGGCAGCAAGGGGGAATCCTCTCCTTCTGGGTCCATGCAGAGCCAGCTGCACTGGCAGAGAACGATATTCTGTACTGCACATATGACTGTGTGGTAGACTTGGCCAATTTTGGCTTTGATTTATTCCACGTCTCTGATAAGTACCGCTATGTTCTAGCTGTATGCATTGTGTCATGTACGAGCTTCTATAGCATAATAAGAAATAGGAGAGTGCAATATCATCAGTTTCCAATTTCTGAGATGCTGCATCTAAGAAATGCTTCTTCTGTCATGGTCACGTTTGCTGCTGCTCATATACAAAAGGGTCCTGCTCTTTGGAATCTGTGTGATGAGCTCATGTTGGCCAGCAACTCTCATCGTCTTAAATGGAGTAATTGTATCCATTGAGCTCCCGATTTTGTAAAGTCCTTATGCAGCTTTCCAGTCCTGTGATGTACAGCTTCCCTAAATTTTTGGTGTGATGTAAGAAATCTTGGGTGAAATTCCCTGCTCTGTTATGTATGAGGTCAGCCTAAATGATCCGTCTTGGCCTTAAAAAGAAAACAAATGCTGTTGCCCAGGCTTGCCAGCATCTGGACATTTTGCTGCTCTGCGCTGCATGGAGGTCGTGATTTTGTGGACTCTGGAAAACTTTACTTAAAAATCCATTTGCAAATCCATAAGGAAATGTGTGACTGGGGGCTTAGGTAGTCACAGCTGGAGTATCGTGCCAGCTAGTGACAGCAGTGTGTATCCTCAAGCATGGTAATTTTAGCATATAGCATTTGAAAAGAAATCCATATCTGCCGCCTTCTTTAATGCAACATAAACTCTTCAAACATGAACTTTTCAGTGCTGCATCTTCAGAGAAGCGCTTCCTGTCATTCAGATATATTTGATGTTGTTTGCTGCATTACATATAGAAAGCTGTGTAATTTAGCACCTGAAACACATCTCCAAGAACGACTTGGAGAGAAAGAAATTCACGCAAAACCTGAAGGGGTTGAAGAAAATGAACTCCTGCTGCAGTTGCACACTTGCACACATCTGGTGCAATCGAAATTTAAGAGCTGAATACATCCACATCTGACCATGGTAGGCTCCAAACATTACTGTTGACACTGGTTTTCTTTTTGGATAGGCACACTGGCAGAGTCACTAGCATGTGGAACCTTGTCAGCTCTCTAATCTAATAGACTGTTCTTGCCCAGACCATTGTGTGTCAGTATTTTATGTACCGAATGTAGCCAGGTTTAATAATCAGCCATTTTCCCATCTTCTGCCAAACTTTTTCCCTTTTTGTCACAATTTAATGTTTGAGTCAAAATCTGCTATGGTAACAAATTATATACATATTAAAAAATGAAAATAAAGATGAAAAGCAGAGTCACAAAAGGTAACAAGAGTTCAAAGTCATGTCATCTGAGTTTTTTTTAAGACTTGAATTCAACCCCAGTTTAAAATTTATTTTTATTTGTTGTGTATTGTGAAAAGATTGCACAGAAATGGGTACTGCTTGAAAGCATGGCTATAGCTCTCTATATGTAAAATTGTGGAAGTCTTCCCTGTACAGTCTTCCCTGATTTGATCTATTTGCTTTTTAGTTACTAAATGATAATTTGTGGAGGTTTTTGGATTGTATTTTTCTTACTTGGAATGGTTGGCTTCAGCTAGGACCTGCTGAGGCTATTTATGCTCATTTCTAGTGACTATATCTGTCATTTAAAGTATGTTACCAGAAGGGTATTTTTTTATTATTATTATTGCATTTTTTTTAAAGGGCCCTTCGCTTGCCTTGCTGCTGGCAGGAGTTGCGGCTGTCACATACTGGGTTAGTGCTGGTGAGGACTGGGGACCTTGGAGGAGCATCTCCAGGGAGCTCCTTGCCGGGCAAACCCCAGCACCAGCTGCAGAGGAGCTCAGTCACCAGGAGGGCATCGGAGCGGGGTCGCCCAGTTTCTCAGTGATTTTACTGTTTAGTAGGTTATTTCTTATTCCATGCTGATTGGAATCTCACCCTGAAGTACCACAGCTTGAGTGAAACTTGAACAGTTTTGAAACTAAAACCTGGATCTAGGTTCCAGGGCCAGGTGGGTGCTTGCAACTCGCTTTTGGTTGCATGAAGGGTGCTGGTAAAGGCTTCTGCAGCCAGGGCATCAGCCCTTGTGGTCATTGTATCCTGAGATGGAGCAGTTTCTGCCTCTGTCACGTGCGATGAGGGATGGCATCCAGGACTGGCATCTACTTTCCTGGGACATGGATTCCTTATTATTTAGTTTGATGCGATTACACGTTTTCTCTGTGCCATTGCTGCGCTGAAGTGGGGACAGATCTGTAGCCATGGGCAGAGTCACTTATCTGAACTATCAGTTCATGGTTAAGTAATTTGTACTTTAATTGAGTTTATTCCTCTTGGTAATTTAATTAGGAGATTTGTATAAGTAACACCACCCAGGCTGCCACAGCCCCGTTCCTCCGCAGGTTGCCGGGCACCGTGTGCTCTGGTCTGTACTTTTCCAGCCTGTTCCTCATTGTGCCTTGGGGACCTCTCCCAGAGATGTGCTTCGACATGATCCTCGCATTGGCTGGAACTGCTTGAGTTCTGGGACTTCCCAGGATGATTAGTGTATCTTGGTGAACAATGGTCTAAGCAACTCATTAAATTGTCGTGTATCCTCCTCCCTCCCTGTGCTTCACTCCCAGCTCCTGGAGAGCCGATTAGAGGCTTGGCAGGAACTGTATGGTTATGCTCTAGATACACTTTGGATACATTATTGTCACAGTTGAGGTATTGCAAAAGCCATGCTGTTCCCATCTTTACCCTAGCGAGGTACCTCTCTTGATGGTGCAATATCTGTGGCTAATTACACGGCAATCGCAGCGTGCCACCAGCCACCCACAATTCATTGTCAGCTCCTTGGGGATGCAGATGGAAAAGGAAAGATAATGTTTTCTTTCTTCAGTCCAGTGATTTAGCTTGCCTCTTTTTTTTCAAATCCCCTGCTCCTTCAGGTAATAAAGCCAGATGGTAGTCACAAAGAAACAGAAGCCACGCATGAATCAGATGTCCCCGAGGAAATGTTGGGGACTTGCATTCCTCAAGAGACGGCGAAAGGCGATGCGACAAGTCCGGATGTCATTATAGAAGCTCAGTTTGATGATAATGATGCAGAGCATGGACAAGACCACTTGCAGGATACCTTGACTGATGACACTAAGAAACTTTCCCTGGATGCCAGTGAAAAGGGTGAGTAGATCAGATTACTGATTTAAACCTTTATTTGAAGCAAACTGGTGAAGTATGACTTTGTTGCCTCGCTTTGCCGCAAGATTTAAAATACAGGCATAAAAGCTGAATGCCTTATCACTTCTATCCCTTCCTGCTAAACTGCCTTCATAGTTTTGAATGGAGATTAAGGACTTGGTTTTATGTAGTTTTGATTGATGCAAAGTAAATCTGTGAAACAGAAGTCACACCTTTAGATTTGTAATTCTCCAGGCTGTCTGGGGACTGCTGGTTGCTGTTTAATTCGAGATGCTGCTGTAGCAGTTTCCTTCGTTGCAGCTTGGCTGGCCAATCTGTGTGTCTCAGTTTGGGGATAAGTATATATTTCCTTGGGGGCAGTTAGGTTTGTTGCTGTTTTCAAACAGTTGAGTTATGAGCGACTTAAAGATTTGGTCCATTTAAAAAGAAAATTGCACTAAAACCTAAAGCCAATTATGTGATCTGTTTTGAAGGCAAACCTATTTTATTCTGAATCTGAATTCCATCCAAACCATCAAGTGTTGCTTTAGGGCAAAATAAAATAAGACTCCCCTGTCTCAAACTATGCTTATGCTGCTCTTTGCATGTCCTTTCTAGTAAGAAATCCCTTTCTGAAGAGCTGTGAAAGGATTCTGACAACGGGCACGTTTAACATGTGCTTTCAGCTGCTGGTGAGAAGTTTGCCAGAACAGATATTCTGGTGCATTCCTGATGTGTGCCCCAATTGTCCAGAGAAGATGGCAGTGACTTAGGACATACGTAGTTGTTGGTCTCTGACAAATCTTGGTGGTGGTTGTGAAGCTGTTCTGTTTAATACCTCCTGTTTTCCTGAGAGATGGCTTTTGAAGATGCACAGCTCTCTGCCTATACAGTTGGTAGGCTTCCATTTTTCACACCCATCTTAATAAAACTGGAAATAACATCTGAGTGGAAGTGTTGTAGGTTTTATGGCAAAACGTTGGTTTCAGCGCATGAACGGAGCTGCCACCTCACCAGTCCGTGATGCTGTTTCCTTCTGGGTACCTCCACTGTCTTTGATTTACTGCCAAGGTAGATGAACCAACTTCCGTCTTGTTCCATTCCTTTCCAGCACAGGGCTTGAGTTGGGAGTTACTCGTCTTTTCTGCGGATACTTTACACAGCTGGTTATTAACTCCCGTCTTTTTTGCAGTCTTGGGCACTGTTTCAGCTGCACAGGGCTGAGCTGCCACTTTGACTCAACAACTCTAAGATGCTCTTGGGTCACAAGTCACGTCTGTTGCATCTCTGTTGCTTCTGATAGCAATGCCAAATCACAGTTCAGATAAGTACATTCTAGTTTGACACCAACATCTAAAATAAATGCAGACTTAAGCCAATATTTTACTTTAGCTGTATGACTGTGCTTTTAGTGTAAAGGCTTGATGACAGTGACTTTTCTTGGTACATCATAGTTCCTTGAGATGCTCTGGAGTGACCTGTGTTGGAGGTTATCGAGTCATCTCTTAACATCTGTGCCATCTGAGTGGTTTTTGCCATTTAATTCTATCTTTGGTGAATATTTGTAGGGCATTAGATCACCTTATTGTCTACACAGTTGAAATCCAACCTATTTTTCCATTGCACTTGCCTAAGCCAACTGTTTTCTTTTGTTTTCAAAGCCTTTCCGTATTCATCCTTAACAAGCCTTGTGGCTGGTGTGGATGTGCCAGTTAGATTTCTGCTGAGTTTGTATTTTGCTATCGCCTCTTTTTATAGTTGCTTCAGCTTCTTTGGCCATATAACCCATATGGATTTTTCTCTAGTTTCTTCTTGCTCTGGTTTTTAGTGCCCTCCTTTTTTTTATACATATAAAGTTTACGATGGTGCTTTTTCTGAAGGTGTTTTTGAGCAGTTGATGATTGCTTTGGCTTGTTTCCTGTCTTTCATGCAATTTCTCATATCATCACTTATCCAGATTTTAAGTCTTGCCTGGAAAACAGCTATAGTTATTCTAGCATCAGTGATAACTGTCATGAAAAAAGAAAAGATCCTGCCAAATTCAGCCTTCACAGGTGTGGCTCCAAATGCTTTTTTAAAAGGACCAAACATACACTTTTTCAAGTCAGAACTTAGCCTTAGAGGATAATATCTGCTGGACTTCCTGAGGCCATCCACTGGAGCGTGGTTCTGGCACCGAGAGGCAGAGTGCTTTGCAGGGTGGGACTGTCGTGGGTGGCAGTGCCCTTCCCTGCCTGACATGGGCCCCCCCAGGAGGGCTGCTTGGCTGAGGCTGCCCCCTGAACCTTCCTTTCAAGGTAACTGCGTGCGAGCCCTTTCTTCTGTGTTACATCCCTTCTGCTGGTAACAACCACTGCAGCAAAACCCAGAGAGGTGTATGGGAGACGAGATCCCATGGGGAGATTTCTTGCTGACCCACCAAAACCAGTGCTGGACTTACTTTCCGTGAGAGTATTGCTTTGTAGGGTTTGTTACACACTCATTGCATGGCCTTACGCACAGAAGGGAGCAGGAAAAATCAGTGCAACTCTTAAATAAACACTTGTAGCAGGCATAGGGAAGTCTGAAGGTTTCAAGCTGGAGAAGGATGCCCTCAAGGGTATCATTTTTAATAAAGTAAAATCAAGAAACAGTCTATCATGTTCTCATGTGTGCTTTGTGTGTGTATGTATATGCATACACGTGTGTATATGTGTATATATATAAAAAAGACGCAAATATGTATATGACCTAAACAAAATACAAACTAAAAAAACCTACCAGATTTCTGGGAGTAAAAAATATCCACAGCTACTCTAATAGAGTAAAAAGTAAACTTTATTTATTCTGGGGCAAAAAGAGCCACATGGAGACAGTACTGAAATCTTTGTGCACATACACAAGCTCTGCAGATTGCTGCCGCTCAGTTGCGAGACAGCTTTTGTCCTTTCTGATGGAGGAGTAGAATTACGCAATATCTCTGTTCCTGGCTCATTTGTTCTGCTGATGATGATCAGAATGAACCATGAAGAATAAAAGTAGACGTGTCATTCAAGTAAGAGCACTCTGGGTCATGCTAGGAGTGCAGGCTGTTTTGATATCTTTTCTGCCCTGGCCTGTGTCCCATCCCTTATTGTGGCTCTGTTCCCCTTCAGAGCACAGGCACCCCCTCCATCTCTGGTTACACGCTTGGGGAAAGAATTTGGGGCTGGCCCTTGCTGTCAGAAGCTCTGAAGCATGAAAACATAGTGTACGCTGATTAGGGCCTGGATTTGACGGGACTGAATTTCCCTGAAGTCATTGTATGTTGGGTTTCCTATGCCTCTGTGGGGCTTAAAGCAAACTGGCTGAAATGGTTACATGTGGGGCTGCAGGCTGAGGCTCAGGTGCTGGATCTGCCTTCACCAAGTGCTGCGGTTCTGAGAGCTGTGCTTCCTGCCCTTCTCTTCCCATGACCCCAGAAGGGATGGGATAAGCAAGAGGGAGGTCCACAGAAGTGAAGACATCATCACATTCAGCCTAATTCCCAGCCCATATACTTCTGAAAGTTCTTGTGCTCATAAAAGTGCGTCATTCTTGCTTTGCTCAAGGAAATTTGAATAAAAGTTCGTAACTGGTGTCACTCAGACAGAAGCTGTCCTGGTCAAACGAGTTTGCTCCGCTTTTTGGAACTCTTCTTGCAAAGAAGTTGGGTTAAAGATTATCTTCAGAAAAGTCTGATCTAGGAATTGATGAGCCATTTTCCTCTCCAGCGTGCTGTTCTACACAAAAACCCAGTATTGTCCTGTCCAAAGTTAGATTGTCTTAATGTCAAGGTTTGGTCATTGGAGGTTGGTCTTTTTTAGCAAAGTTGGAAATCTCTTTCCTCTTGCATTTTCAGCTGTATTTCCAAGGTGTAAATATCTCTACACACTCAACAAATTTTCTCTCTTTTTTTTCTTTACGAAAACAGTAAGAATGAGCACCCTCCAGAAGGTTTCTCAGCTCCCTTCCTAGTGTCCTTCAAACCCTCTCTGGGGTTTCTATGCTGTGTTGAAATGCAGGTGAAGAACAAGGGAATAGCATCCTGGCACTCCTCTGAATAATATTGTGTGCACAGAAAAGATAAATTCTCTGTAGTGCTTGGTATTGACATGCAAGTCCTCTGTGTTTTCCCCTGAGACCTCAACTTATTCTGTGTCACTGCTGTCCAGAGAAGTCATCCTCCAGTTGACATGACCTTAGCCAGGTCTGTAATTTTTTTCCTTAATCCTCATTCACGTTGACTACTGCAACAGAGATAACCTAACTTCCACCTTATCACTTAGTACTGAGCTAGAATACATTATTTCTGTGACTTGTCACTGCAGTAGAAGGATTTCCCTTATACTCCATTTCAATATGTAATAAAAAATTGAAAGTTCTCTGTATCCTTCCAACCCAGGAAAAGTGCAAAATGTTCTGTACAGAATACTTTACGATGCTGTGTCCCTCCACAGACTTGTGTGTCACATGGGTTTCATACAAATGTGAGCTGTCTCTTGTTAAATATTGGAATCAGATTGCTCTGATAAGGAAACATCAGCAATTGAACAGTAGCGGCTACTTGTACTCTCGAGAATGGCAGCTGGGCTCATAAAAGTGCCTCAGCCTTTCTTAGCAAAAGGATATTCAAATAAAAGTTTGTAAAACTGTGGTGCTGTGCCAAAAGCTATCCTCGTCAAACTAGTTTGCTCAGCTTTTTTCAGCTCTTCTCACGAGAGATCTTACTTTACCAGATCCGCAGAATATCCTGCTTCCCACGGGGTGGCTCGCAGAAGTCATCAGGCTGGTGGACTGGCTGCCCCGGCAGCAATCAGAGTTGTGTTTGTTCAGGATTTCCTCTTACACCTACACTCCTGCAAATCAGAGTTTGAATATATGAATGTCTGAGGCTTGCTCACTGCCTTGATGTAATGAAGTTTAAATAGAAATAGCTCATTTACGGGCAGAGTAGACTGACAGCTAACTCAGCCAAGTGTGTGATGGAAAGTGGAGTCGAATAG